ATTCATTCATTCATTCATTCATCCATTCATTCATCCATCCATTCATCCATCCATCCATCCATCCATCCATCCCTCCATCCATCCATCCATCCATTCATCCATTCATCCATCCATCCATTCATCCATCCATCCATCCATTCATCCATTCATCCATCCATCCATCCATTCATCCATTCATCCATCCATCCATTCATTTTGACTGACTGCATGAAGAAGATCAGGAAATGAGGACAGAACATCTAAAAGAGACATCTCACACCGTGTCAGATTTTGGTTATTGTGTGGAGGTGGAGATAAATCATATTGTTTGGTGGATGCAGTTTGAACCAGAGTAGCAGCATGGAGGTCGGATCGTCACCAACATAAATAAATAAGTGGTCCGAAAAAAGTTAATGACAAAATAAATACACATAGCCTTCCTCAGGCAGTGTGTTGTCCCGGGGACAGGAGACCCCCCCCCTTGATGAGAAACTGTAAGAAATGATGGGGGAATCCCTCCGGAGTGGAGTCATGACGACTGGATCTGAATGATTGTGTTGTATTTGGTGGTTTGTGTTCCAGCTGTCGATCAGCAACTATATCTCCATAATCCACCAGTTAAAGGAAATACAATGTGTTGTGTTATATTAGCTGTTTACCACATATGGTGTTCTTAGTTTCCATACCTCCTGGGTTTTACGAGCCACTTATCAAGTCTTGGCAAACGGCATAAAACACGATTAAACGTGATAGTATATAAAACCATGCTCGTATCTACAACCTATAGAAATGCAAAAGGCGTCAGTTTAGACGTCATTCTGTCCTCCTGCTTACCGCATCATTTATGAGAAAACATTTCATAACATTAACACAACATATTCCAGGTGGTTTTAAATAACATATCCGTATTTATTTATTTCTCCAAGTTATGTTTTTGTGTGCACTGAGGAGTCTCAAACAGGCGTTTGTTTAATCATTTAAAGATTGGCTTTAATCAATGTTTGAAAATGAATTCTTCATATTTGATAAATGAGAGGTAACATTTTATTGATGGTATTATTTCCACATATTTCTCTCCATTCTTCCTTCTGCCAACGGGGTCGCAGTTTCTCGTCTCTCCCGTTGTTGTGCTTAGTGCGTACGCATGGGTTAGAGTTTGCGTGGAGGACCGCACATTTTCCCGTCAAGTTAGTATTTTATAAATCGCAAACATTGCGTAGAAACTGGCGTACGCCATTTTTTGAGCGTATATCCCTTTATAAATGAGGCCCCTGAGCAGTATGGAGGAAGTGACTTTTTTTTAAGTCAGATTTTTTTCTATGAAAATCTCCAAATTCTTACTTTATGTTTAATATCTCCAAATTCAGATTTTTTCGGAATCGTCAAATGTCTGACTTTTTTCGAAAAATAAAAAAATTCTGACTTATTTCATCTCAAAATCCTGACATTCCTCCTGTACCTGGGGGTCTGCGCTCAGCTGGTCTGCGCTCAGCTGGTCTGGGGTCAGCTGGTCTCGGTGCAGCTTGTCTCGGTGCAGACGCAGGGTCTCCTTCATCGGGACCCTCAGCCTCAGCCGGTACTCCAGAGAGCCGAAGCTCGGGGTCTCCTCACTCCTCCCTGAGAACAGGGAACAGCAGGTGTTCACGTTGTTAGATGTAGAAACCACAGACTGTAGAGAGCACAGTCTTCTGTCTGTAGGACGTCACTGTGAGTGCTAGCTTAGCATGATTGATCAGACCCCTCCGCTACCGGCCCCATCAACAAGGCCCGGCCCCCCACTGACCCTGTACCTCAGCCACATCATAGAACCTATGCATTACATTAGTGCACACAATATCTTTTTACTGCACATATTTTATTCCAATTCCATTTCAATGTAAATACTGCTATATTTTTTTATATGTTCTAATGTTATTATAGTTTTCTTAAAATAGTTCTGTGTTTATAATTAATTTGATGTATGCACCACGACACCAAGTCAAATTCCTCGTATGTGTCCACCTACCTGGTGATAAACCTGATTCTGATATCCTCTATTTGACTCACCTAGTAGAGGTGCGCTCCCCTGCAGCGCCCCCTCCGCCTCCAGGAGCCCCTGCAGGGGGATCTTTGCTCCGGCCAGCGTCCTCCAGTCCACGCCCAGCGCCTGGTGCAGCTCCACCTTCACCGCCCCGCGCCTCAGGTACTGCAGGAAGCCCTCGTCCACGCTCACCACGAAGCGGGAGGTGAAGCCGTAGCGCGGCCTGGAGCCCGAGGCCAGCGGCGTGCAATGCAGCTCCGACAGGTGGAAGCTGTAGGTGCAGAAGGTGGAGAAGGTGGAGGAGGTGGAGGAGGTGGAGGGATCCTGGTCCCCGAGAGCCTCCTGCAGGGCGGAGGAAGACAGGGAGGCTCCCAGCAGCTGCAGCTCCAACAGGTTCTCCCCCCGCTGCAGCAGCTCCTCATCATCCTCCTCTTCATCCTCCTCTTCATCAGGGCCGTCGAGGGGGGAGGGCAGCGCTGCTTTGCTGCCGTAGGCCACGTCTCTGAGCTGAGCTGAGGAGAAACAGACAGGTTAGAGTCAGGTTAGAGACAGGTTAGAGTCAGGTTAGGGTTAGGGTTAGAGTCAGGTTAGAGTCAGGTTAGAGACAGGTTAGAGTCAGGTTAGTCAGGTTAGAGTCAGGTTAGAGTCAGGTTAGAGACAGGTTAGAGACAGGTTAGAGACAGGTTAGAGTCAGGTTAGAGACAGGTTAGAGTCAGGTTAGAGTCAGGTTAGAGTCAGGTTAGAGACAGGTTAGAGTCAGGTTAGAGTCAGGTTAGAGTCAGGTTAGAGACAGGTTAGAGACAGGTTAGAGACAGGTTAGAGTCAGGTTAGAGACAGGTTAGAGTCAGGTTAGAGTCAGGTTAGAGACAGGTTAGAGTCAGGTTAGAGACAGGTTAGAGACAGGTTAGAGACAGGTTAGAGACAGGTTAGAGTCAGGTTAGAGTCAGGTTAGAGTCAGGTTAGAGTCAGGTTAGAGACAGGTTAGAGTCAGGTTAGAGACAGGTTAGAGTCAGGTTAGAGTCAGGTTAGAGTCAGGTTAGAGACAGGTTAGAGACAGGTTAGAGTCAGGTTAGAGTCAGGTTAGAGTCAGGTTAGAGACAGGTTAGAGTCAGGTTAGAGACAGGTTAGAGTCAGGTTAGAGACAGGTTTAGAGTCAGGTAGAGTAGGTAGGTCAGGTTAGAGACAGGTTAGAGTCAGGTTAGAGTCAGGTTAGAGACAGGTTAGAGACAGGTTAGAGACAGGTTAGAGTCAGGTTAGAGACAGGTTAGAGACAGGTTAGAGTCAGGTTAGAGACAGGTTAGAGACAGGTTAGAGTCAGGTTAGAGACAGGTTAGAGTCAGGTTAGAGTCAGGTTAGAGTACAGGTTAGAGGACAGGTTAGAGTCAGGTTAGAGTCAGGTTAGAGTACAGGTTAGAGACAGGTTAGAGGACAGGTTAGAGTCAGGTTAGAGTCAGGTTAGAGACAGGTTAGAGACAGGTTAGAGACAGGTTAGAGACAGGTTAGAGACAGGTTAGAGTCAGGTTAGAGACAGGTTAGAGACAGGTTAGAGACAGGTTAGAGACAGGTTAGAGTCAGGTTAGAGACAGGTTAGAGTCAGGTTAGAGTCAGGTTAGAGTCAGGTTAGAGTCAGGTTAGAGACAGGTTAGAGTCAGGGCCTGTCTTCAGTTGTAACACTGATCATGTCCTGCTGTGGGACTAATGAAGGACTTCTGAGGTCACCAGTACAGACTGGGATGTATAAATGAAGTTAGCATTATTGTAAATCTCAGATGATGTAATAGTCTGTGGACACAGCTCCTCTTTATTTCCTTTATTAATGAGCGGTGAAGAACAGGAGATCTCAGAACTTCGCAGACTTCAGTTCTTGTTTACCTGTCAAACTAACGTTAGCATCCACTGACATGGGATGAAGATATCTACCTTCCAGCTTCTTGATCCTGGCAGCGCGGGTGTCCAGCAGCGCGGCCTGTCGCTGAAGCTGCTGCGTAAAACCTCCTCCGTCAGCCTCCATCTTCTGCAGCACCGCCTGCAGCTCCACCTGAGGAAACATCACAACTTTTCAAAAATCTCCAAAATCTGAAAGTCTGTAAATTCTGACTTTTTTCTGAAAATAAAATCTCATTTTCTGACTTTGACTTTTCTGATAATTCTGACTTTTCTGATAATTCTGACTTCTGAAATGTTTTACTTTTTCCTCAAAGTATGACTTTTTTCAAAAAATTCTGACTCTTCTGCAAATCTAAAAATTCTAACTTTTCTCAAATTTCGGAATTTTCTTACTTTTTCCTAAAATTCTGACATTTTCCTGAAAATCCGGACTTTTTCAGAAAATCCGGAGTTTTTCACAAAATTCTGACTTTTTCCTGAAAATGTCAAAATTCTGACTTTTTCCTAAACATTCAGATTGTTCTATGAAAATCCAGTAGCGTGGCGTGGGGAAACAATTAGGGGAAGCCAATAATACGTCAATGTAACGCTGTAACCAGATGAGTGATTACAGCGCCCGGTATCATTTCACACACATTTGTATCATACAGATGCAGGACTTACACACGCCTGCTTTCTAGCCGATAGGTCCGCACGCACTCTCCAGCCGAAACTCTAATAAGCATTCATTCACAAACTAAATCAGGAGACCTTTAACGTTTTACGTCCGATTCGCTCCTTTTCCCCTCGCTGTACACAGCTCCAGTTTGGGCATCGGCCTGTCATCAGATTGAATTTTAGTTGCTGCTGTAGCGGAAGTTTAGTACAATTATATTTTATTAAATACTCCAAATCTCCACCCTCCATAATTGCATTTGCTTCAGTTGCTTGCTACTTTCTAACGGCGGTGAGAGTGGTGCAGTGACGCTATCTATCTATCAATTCGATTTATGATTAGAAAATGATAAAAGTAGAGTAGACATGTGGATATTATCCGGCTGAACAAAACGTGCATTTATCTAACAGGTTCGTTTTCCACAGACCTTATTTCCAGCTCTTTTCCAAAACCCTATGGAGAAATCCCATTGCTTTTTTGTTGAGGGAACGCGAGTGCAGCTTACTTCCGGATTTTAGGACGCGTCACTGCACCACTAAGTTGATGCAATTTGATTGGATTGTGAGGCAAGGGAAGCCAGCCGCCTCTGGCTTCCCTTGGCATGGCTCTGACTAATCACAGGTTGGCAGGGGCATGATGTGAGCCTTGTCTGATTGGTCAATCCCTCCATTTTTTTTCACCAAGGGAAGCCAATTTCGGCTGGCCTCCTTTCGCAACAGTGAGTGCAATATACTGTTTTACCATAACATCTAGAGGGGCGCTGTTTCACTCTTTGTAAAATACTCAATGAGAATGGGGGAGAGACGGGCCGGCAGCAACACACAGCAAAGAAGAATTTCCGAAACTAAATATAACTACAATCCGAAAAAACAGGGGAAGCCTGGCTTCCCTTGGCCTCCAGGAGAAAACGCCACTGTGAAAATCTAACATCTTTGACTTGTATCTGAAATGATGGCTTATTTCTGAAATTTGCAAATTTCTGACTTTTTCCCAAAGGTTCAGATTCAGATTTTTTTCAAAGAAATCTCAAAATCTGACAACATTTTTATATATTCTGAAAATAGTCAGAATATTGAGATTTCCAGAAAAGAGTCAGAATTCTGGGATTGGGATGTGGGAGAGAAACTCCATCTGGAGGGAACACACATATTTTAACCTTTGGAGACCATTTACATCTAACACCTGAAGAACTACAGGATCAACATCTCCACAACCAGGAGGACAGAGGCTGCTGTTGTTCTAAAGTAGACCTGGATATATGAGAGTCACCTTGTAGTCCCTGCAGATGCTGTTCTCCATGCTCAGCAGGCTGCGGGTCTTCTGCAGCTCCTGGATGGTCTCAGCGTGAGCGGCTCTCAGCTCCTGCACCTCCTCCTGCTCCTCCTGCACCTGCAGGAAGCCCAGCTCCCCACTAGATTTACGCTTCTGGGGAGGTGATGATTAAAGGGTCAGGAAACACAAAGAAAAGCCATAACGAGAAACCTTTGTATCTTTACGAAAAACATCACTTTCACATCAGACATTTTGAAGTTTTTCTGGAATATATAAAAAATGTTATCTCTTACTTTAATGAGCAGCAGAGCCTCAGTGAGTTCAGCCACGTCATACTCGTTCTCCTGTAACAAGCAGACAACCTTTATCCATAGTCTCTAAATAACTTATTTCACGTATATATGATATTTAGGCTCGCTGGTCTCATCATACAACGGCAATGAAAAAGCACCAGGGGAGGCAGCCATAACCTCTGCCGCACTGAAGGGGGCGCACGTGAGCCCACAGGTTCTTGTTGCTACTGTAATTCTACACAGAGACGGTAGACGCAAACAACAAACTAGACTTTTGAAACTACGGGAAGATAAGGAGGACTTTTACAAAAAAGTAATAAAGATTGTTGTCCAGAAGGATAGCATGGACTTCATCTTCAAGTCAAGGTAAGACCACATTTGTAATGAAAATGGGATCTTACTAAGAAAGAACAATCCAATATTTAGATTTTGGGTATCCTTTTGTTGAACGGTCTGTTTAAAATTAATCGAAACATCAGACTAAAAAAGCCTGTATCACCTGTATATATACAGTCTGTTATCACCTATATTCTGTTATCACCTGTGTATATATACAGTCTGTTATCACCTGTATTCTGTTATCACCTGTGTATATATACAGCCTGTTATCACCTGTATTCTGTTATCACCTGTATTCTGTTATCACCTGTATATATACAGCCTGTTATCACCTGTATTCTGTTATCACCTGTGTATATATACAGCCTGTTATCACCTGTATATATTCAGTGTTAATTATCCTCCTCTCACCCTGCTGTAGAACTTCAGGCGGTCGTTCATCTCCTCCAGTCGCTGCTTCTGCTCCAGAAACTGGATCTGCAGTTTCCTATTTTCCTCCGTCAGCTTCTCACTGGACTCTGAAATATCAACGAGGTTCATTTAATCATCTCGACATCATGATTCATGTTTCCTCTACAAAGTGAGAACTGTTAACACCCTACTCTACGGTGGCCCACAGGTGCCAATGAACAAGAAAAAAGCGCTGCAACCAACTTAACACATGCAGCATTTAGTAAACATTCACCAGCTTTAGGGGACACAGTTTGAGCTCCTTGTATCTGTAGCGTTTTGTATCTGTAGCGTTTTGTATCTGCAGCGTTTAGTATCTGCAGCGTTTAGTATCTGCAGCGTTTTGTATCTGTAGCGTTTTGTATCTGTAGCGTTTTGTATCTGTAGCGTTTTGTATCTGCAGCGTTTAGTATCTGCAGCGTTTTGTATCTGCAGCGTTTTGTATCTGCAGCGTTTAGTATTTGCAGCGTTTTGTATCTGTAGCGTTTTGTATCTGTAGCGTTTTGTATCTGTAGCGTTTTGTATCTGCAGCGTTTAGTATCTGCAGCGTTTTGTATCTGCAGCGTTTAGTATTTGCAGCGTTTTGTATCTGTAGCGTTTTGTATCTGCAGCGTTTTGTATCTGCAGCGTTTTGTATCTGTAGCGTTTTGTATCTGTAGCGTTTTGTATCTGCAGCGTTTTGTATCTGCAGCGTTTTGTATCTGCAGCGTTTTGTATCTGTAGCGTTTTGTATTTGCAGCGTTTTGTATCTGCAGCGTTTTGTATCTGTAGCATTTTGTATCTGCAGCGTTTTGTATCTGCAGCGTTTTGTATCTGCAGCGTTTTGTATCTGTAGCGTTTTGTATCTGTAGCGTTTTGTATTTGCAGCGTTTTGTATCTGTAGCATTTTGTATTTGCAGCGTTTTGTATCTGTAGCATTTTGTATCTGCAGCGTTTTGTATCTGTAGCATTTTGTATCTGCAGCGTTTTGTATCTGCAGCGTTTTGTATTTGCAGCGTTTTGTATCTGCAGCGTTTTGTATCTGTAGCATTTTGTATCTGTAGCGTTTTGTATTTGCAGCGTTTTGTATCTGCAGCGTTTTGTATCTGTAGCATTTTGTATCTGTAGCGTTTTGTATCTGTAGCGTTTTGTATTTGCAGCGTTTTGTATTTGCAGCGTTTTGTATCTGCAGCGTTTTGTATCTGTAGCGTTTTGTATTTGTAGCGTTTAGTATCTGCAGCGTTTTGTATCTGCAGCGTTTTGTATCTGCAGCGTTTTGTATTTGCAGCGTTTTGTATCTGCAGCGTTTTGTATCTGTAGCGTTTTGTATTTGTAGCGTTTTGTATCTGTAGCGTTTTGTATCTGCAGCGTTTTGTATCTGTAGCATTTTGTATTTGTATTGAGAAGCAGAGAGGAACCAGAGGAGATGCTATATGAAGCAGAGAGGAACCAGAGGAGATGCTATATGAAGGAGAAGCAGAGAGGAACCAGAGGAGATGCTATATGAAGCAGAGAGGAACCAGAGGAGATGCTATATGAAGCAGAGAGGAACCAGAGGAGATGCTATATGAAGCAGAGAGGAACCAGAGGAGATGCTATATGAAGGAGAAGCAGAGAGGAACCAGAGGAGATGCTATATGAAGCAGAGAGGAACCAGAGGAGATGCTATATGAAGGAGAAGCAGAGAGGAACCAGAGGAGATGCTATATGAAGCAGAGAGGAACCAGAGGAGATGCTATATGAAGCAGAGAGGAAGCAGAGAGGAACCAGAGGAGATGCTATATGAAGGAGAAGCAGAACCTCTCTCCGTCTTGATCTTGTCCAGGATCTGGTTCTTGTCGACGAGGTCGGCCTGCAGCGCCGTCTCCAGCTGAGAAATCTGCATCTTCAGCTTCTGCTCCTGCAGCTGGAACCTCTGCTGCCAGGACACATCCAGCGCGCTGACACACACACACACACACACACACACACACACACACACACACACACACACACACACACACACACACACACACACACACACACACACACACACACACACACACACACACACACACACACACACACACACACACACACACACACACAGTCACTGAAGAGAAGACGCTTTCACGTTCAGCCTGGATGTACGCTGAGTTGCTCCTGAGCCTCTCACCTGTTCACCAGCTTCTCATTGTTGTCCTTCAGCAGGTCTCTCTCCTGCTCCACCTCACTGACCATCTCCTGCAGCTGCAACACAACCAGCACAACAGACCAGTTAGCCTGAGTTAAGCCTGAGTTAAGCCTGAGTTAAGCCTGAGTTTAGCCTGAGTTAAGCCTGAGTTAAGCCTGAGTTTAGCCTGAGTTTAGCCTGAGTTTAGCCTGAGTTAAGCCTGAGTTAAGCCTGAGTTTAGCCTGAGTTTAGCCTGAGTTTAGCCTGAGTTAAGCCTGAGTTTAGCCTGAGTTAAGCCTGAGTTAAGCCTGAGTTTAGCCTGAGTTTAGCCTGAGTTTAGCCTGAGTTTAGCCTTAGTTAAGCCTGAGTTAAGCCTGAGTTTAGCCTGAGTTTAGCCTGAGTTTAGCCTTAGTTAAGCCTGAGTTAAGCCTGAGTTTAGCCTGAGTTTAGCCTGAGTTTAGCCTGAGTTAAGCCTGAGTTTAGCCTGAGTTAAGCCTGAGTTAAGCCTGAGTTTAGCCTGAGTTTAGCCTGAGTTTAGCCTGAGTTTAGCCTGAGTGTATCCTGAGTTTAGCCTCAGTGTGTGGAGGGTGTGTGTTGATGGAGGGTGTGTGTTGATGGAAGGTGTGTGTTGATGGAGGGAAGGTGTGTGTGATGGAGGGTGTGTGTTGATGGAAGGTGTGTGTTGATGGAGGGTGTGTGTTGATGGAAGGTGTGTATTGATGGAGGGTGTGTGATGGAGGGTGTGTGTGGATGGAGGGTGTGTGTTGATGGAGGGAGGGGGGTGTGGAGGGAAGGTGTGTGTTGAGGAGGGGGTGGGTGATGGAAGGTGTGTATGGATGGAGGGTGTGTGATGGAGGGAGGGAGGGTGTGTGGTGATGGAGGGTGTGTGTGATGGAGGGGTGTGTTGATGGAGGGAGGGTGTGTGTTGATGGAGGGGGTGTGTTGATGGAGGGAGGGTGTGTGTTGATGGAGGG